CACATTGCCCAGGGCGTTGCAAACATCCTCAGAACAAACACTCCAAACCCAGGGAATTCAGTTAAGGTTGTTTAAATACTTAGTGATATTTTTATACATTACAGCACCGGTGATCCATATCTGAAAACAAAAAACAACTGGATTGGAAGACAGAGGTCTCATGCAACATCTCAAACAGTGTACATTTTAAAAAAAATGTCGTAAACCTCTAATTCATCTGAACAAATCAACTGATTTCTCTCAGACAGAGAGCATCATATTAGTATGCCAAAGTGTTTAAATATATAAAATCCAGTTTAAGGGCCCATGACTGCTGCCTCTGTGACTAACAAACCAGAGATTTCTCTCTGATCCACAGCTATAAATCAGACCTGCACTCCCATCAGTCCCCATACTGATGTAGCTGCCTGTTTTGACTCACTCAGGTGCTACCATCTTCAAACCTCTTCAATACTGAACACTTCAAAACCTGATAAGCTCCCTCTGGGTAAGTTCTTTGCCTTTTGAGCTCTGTCCTGTCTTTTTAATGCAGAAATTTATTTTTTGAGTAGGATAAATCTTGGGCTTTTTTCATGTCCCTGCTTCCTCATCTTGAAATTTGCTCATCTTCATTTCTGCAAACACTGCTAAAAGTTATCCTTGCCTTGACCTCTCTTCAGAAGACATGCTTATCCAGGGTTTTAATAATTTGTTAACTTCCTGTCATTCCTTGGTTTAAGGAATTCCTAAATCCCTCCTGAGAGACTGATCTCAGAACTAAACCAAGAGCAACTCTCTTGACATCTTTAGTAATTCCAGTGCAAACAAAGAAGAACTGAGACACAAACTCAGACTTTAAAGGGTGGGAATTAGAAGGGTTTGGACAGGGCTTGAGATTTCCTGATAGAGTACTTCTGTTGAGGTGAGACCTGCAAGATCATATCCACATCAATCAGCAGACACTTCACATTACTAGGGTGTAAAGTCCTGTGTTAAAGCCTCCAGAATAAAATATGTGATTTTTTTCTTTTTGAGTTTTCTGTTACTCATTTCAAATCCACAGAAAAATAGCTTTTCATTTTTTCTTTCCACAGTCATGTTTTGCCTTTTAGTCCAAGCAACTTCACACAGGTTTGTTCCACAAGACTAGAACTATGTCTGAGTGTAGTGTGTTCATCATGGTAGTATCCAAAGACTATATTCTGACTGTCATTTTGTCACACCTTCAGAGTCTTAATTTTTAAACAAATGAAGAATTAAAGTTGACTTTGGTTTTTACTCCTAGCTTTTTCTGATTTAAATACTTTCCTATTTATTTCATTCCAGGAAGGGCACAACAACACTTCTCTGTAAGTGTTCTCAGCTATCTTCTATCATGGTGGTACAAAACACACAGCCATCAAATAGTGTCTTTTCTTTCCTACCTTCTCTTTTGCTTTACTTAATTTCTTTTGGTGTTTCATCCTTTTTTTGTCTAGTGCTATAGCTTGGTGCACATCTATTCTGCATCTACCTGCAGCTAGTTTTGTGATACTCTAAGAGCTGATATATAACAGCAGCCTGAACTAATACATATAACTGGTGTGTAAGCATCACCCTGAAGCCCAGGCAGCCCTGCTGTCCTGGCATTCACCGATGGAAGTGACTAATTTAGCTGAATGTTAACCTGATCTTGCTGCTGTTGGTACCACAGCAAGTTTTGCTCTCATATATGCTCTGTCCTGTGCAAAAACGAGTTAGTGAAAAAGTCAGTGAAAAAGGCCTGCATGAAGAAGCACAACACCGCAGCAGTCTGAAGTATTGCTAATCCCAGCTGCAGTATGATCCCAGAGCAGTTAGATCCCAGTTCCATTGTAGGTGACCCTTTAGGAATGCTGCCCTGTGGAGAAAGGGGAGCTAATATTCTCTATCCATTAACTTCTTACTTAAGGAACAGTGTGTTCTAGTGTGCTTTTGGAGCAATAAGGGATAGGTGAGATCCTTTCTCCATCTGTCTGGGAAGGCTGAGAACACACCCTGCTTCAAGAACTGCACCGAGGATTTGTATGTTTGCCTCTACATGCCATTCACTCATCTATTTACCTCCTGCCTCTTTACACAGAAAAGCTTTTTGAAGAGCTTGCCAAGATTTCTGCCAGGTGGCATCATAAGTGAATTTCACCACAGCTGAGGGCCTGCCAAGCTTTGCTGGACAGACACAGCAGGAAATTAAGGTACTTTATATATATATATATATATATATATATATATATAAAAATATTTATTTTAAGCCTTCTTGCATGAATAGATTTCAAATGCAGCAGGAGCATGGCATACACTGCTACC